CTGCTGCCCATGGGTTGTCTAGCCCACCCACCCTGAGGTCTGCAGAATGTGTTGCCCCCACCCAACCCCAACTCCCATGCCTGATGCTCTCTGAGGACTGAGAGTTTGTTCTTAGACCTCCGTGCTCCCGTTCTGTTCTCTATATGAAACTGCTGATCTCAAGAGACTCTTGGTGGTGAATAATTCAACACTTGATCTCACTCAACTTGAACGACTTCCTTCCTTTGATAACCTTTCTGTGACCTCAGTGACTCCCCTGTACCACCACCAGCCCCTAGTCCTATTGGTATTTTGGACAATACAGAAAGTCTGGCTCCTTTTGAAAATGACCCTGTGACTTCTTTATGAGCTGCAAGGTGTGGCAATGAACACAGGGCTCACTCTGACAGGGATCTTCTTTGAGACTTCTTGGTGGCAGTGAACCCTGGGTGATACCTGTCTGCTACTGGTACCCCATCACGCTATGCCTCTCCCTTTATTCACTTTCACAGTAGGAATTAATCATGCTTAGTCAGTTGGTGCCCGAGCCATTATTATTTCAGAAATGATAATGAAGTTCCCAGGCCAGCCCATGAAGGCCTCAGGAACGAAACATAGCATTAGCATCTTTGTTAACTGATGCTTTATAGATTCTCACCCTCCTGTCTGTCTCCCCTTCCTGCTCTGCCCATGCCCCTTGATATTCCTGGAGTCCTAGTCCTCAGTCCTCATTGGTTTCTATTCTCTTCACAAATGGATGACCAAAGCTAAGTTCTAATCCTCATTGGATTTAAATTATCCTAAGGGTCCTTAGTGCACTTCCCTGCTGGCTCAGACAGTAAAGAATCTGCCTGCAATGCAGGAGACCTGGGTTTGATCCTTGAGTCAGGGAGATCCCAGAGGAGAACGGTATGGCAACCCACTCCAGTATTCTTGCCTGGAGAATTCCATGGACAGGGGAGCCCGGAAGGCTCCATGGGGTTACAAAGAGACAGACCCCTCTGAGCAACTACTACTACTACTACTACTAGGGGTCCTTGGTGTGAGCCCAGTGAACCGGTTCTACAATTAACTTGGTGGGGGGTGGGTACAGGGAAGTAGAAGGAGGTGTGTGATCTCAGGAGTATGTGTACCTGTTCAACATCTAAGAACTTCAGTGATTTTTCAGATGGTGCAATAAGTACGTGTCTGTAATTTATCTATTCTACCCTTCATTCCTATCTCTGAGTATTGGAGAGGGGCAAGCAGAAAACACAGGGAGGTGAGTCATAATCTTCAAGCCTTTCCCACAGATCACTTCCATTCCAATAACTCCTGATCCAGGAACATGGATTAAGCATCTCCCACCTGCCTCCCATGTCACCCCCACCCCGCGACTCTTCGTGGTTCAGGTGGCTCCCCTGGGAGCTACACCCTGGGCTGAGCAGCAGAGCTACAGATTTCACTTCTTTAAACTGGTTCTTAGGGCCACAGGCCACTGACTAGTGTGCAAAGTATGTTTTTAAGGAAGGATCTGAATTAGAATTAATCCTCCTCCATAGGGTGATGAGGCAGCCTAACTGAAATTCATAAGACTGGGGTCTTACTGTCACTAGTCTTCTCCCCAGGGACTCTTTCGACAGTATGAGTAGAGTCACCTACCGCCAGTGGGCACAGATGCCTCGTGCAGGAGACCAGCCTCTCCCATCCCTCACGCCCAAGAGCGAGAGGCTTCATTCCCCTCTTTCTGAGTAACTCAACAACCTCGATGTCTATCAACCCCCGAGTCAAGGGCTTTACATCCACTCTCACTAATTGTTAGGAAGTCAAGTTATTGCAGTGGTTCTCATAGTGTGATCCCCAAGGCAATGGCATCAGCACAACCTGGCAACTTATGAGAAGTGCACATTCTAGGGTTCCCCTCCTGAGATCTGCTGAATTAGAAAACTTGGAGGTGGGGCCCAGAGATGTGTGTTTTATTGACTACACCCTCCAGGTGATGCTGGTGCAGGCTCAGGTGTAAGTCCTGCTGCGATGGCAGGTGAGAGTGCGGAGTCAGAGCCTGAGCCACAGCCTGCCTCCACCATTCTGTGATCTAGGTAAGGTCTCTGTCCTTCAGGTTCCTCACCTGAAATGGGGGACAGTAAGGCATCTGCTAAAGGTTAATACAGGTAAAGCACTTAGGAACATGCCTGGCAGGGAGAGCCTGCCTCACAGTGTTAGTTAGGCTTCCTCCAAGGCATTAATAGTTATCACCAGCTGACTATCACTTGAGGAGACTGAGGTCAGAGAGGTTAGTGACCTGCCCCATGCTCAGAGGGAGGGCACGGGGTCTCATTCACCAGAGACACTCTGCATCATTGTAGACAGTTGTGTTCAGGCTTGGCCACGCCCCTCCTACTGGGAACTAGGCAGGGGGTGCCTGAGCCTTGACTCTGTTCTCCCCTTGGGTATGTTGGATTCTTTCTCTCTTTAGTGGGTCTTATGGACACACCTAACCAAATGGCTTGCTGTGACCCTCACCTTTATCATGCTTTGTTCACAGCCAGGAGGTGGAGGTGGACTGGCTTTGGTGGAGTCACAGTGAGGATGTTTGGTTCAGAAGGCTGCTTGAGAAATGTGGTGACAAATTAGAATTCATTCCTGTGGAAAACTGAGAATAGATCAGCCAAACTGCCTAGGCTCATGAGACATGGCGTGGATTGAGGTCTTTGGGGATAATTCACAAATTATGCATGGAATTAGTGAGCTATTAATGAGGGAGGTTCTCTCCTCTACCTGCTGTATGGCTGGATGGGGCCCTTTGCAGCCATATGCCAGTCTGCTGAGACAGTTTGGATCGTCTTCTCCCAGTAGCTCGTGAAGCAAAGGATGGAGCTTTCGGATAGGACCCCCCTGCATCAGAGCCATATCCCCAGGCCCATGAACCTCTCTAAAGGGACTTGAAGGTAAGTGTCTCTGCAGGTAAAGTTCCCTAAGAATAGGTAAAAAGGCTAATCTCACCTTAAATATGTTTGAATTACCTAAGTGGGAAACCTAGCTTCTTTCACTGCCTCACCGCAATACTGCCCACCCCCCACCAACTGCATGTTCACAGACCCCACAAGGAAGCGCCTGGATTAGCCTTCAGTGGCTTTCACAAAATTCACTTGGATGTGAAATTCTCCAATGCAGTGTGTAAACTGAGCTGAGGGCAGAGTCTGTGTTGCTGGTGATGGTTTATGTTAATTTGCCAGTGACTTCTCGTGCTGTATATTGGAGGCTTTGGAGCTTCCTGTTTATTTGGCTCGTCTTCACACCAGTGACGCTAGCTTCCCTGGTGGCTCAGAGGTTAAAGCATCTGCCTGCGTCTGCCTGCAATACGGAGACCTGGGTTCGATCCCTTGGTCGGGAAGATCCCCTGCAGAAGGAAACGGCAACCCACTCCAGTATTCTTGCCTGGAGAATCCCATAGACAGAGGAGCCTGGTGGGCTACAGTCCACGGGGTCGCAAAGAGTTGAACACGACTGAGCAAATGTCTGTGTGTCTGTGTGTGTCACACCAGTGAGAGTGGTTCTCACACATTCTGCTTCTTGGGTGTTGTGGGGTCTGGGATGTGCCCCCCACCCCTTATTAGGAGAAGAAAGGCAGTTATTAAGGATTCTCCCATACCATAGGGAGGGACCCACTGGCGTCTGGGAATACACACTCTGACACCATTCTATGTAAACCCGGACATGCTTCTGCTCATTTTAATTAGACAGATAAAATTAGCAAGGAGATTAAGGTAAAAGGAGAAATTAAAAATATTTAAATGTTAGGTGGAATTTACAAAAGTGAATTGAACAATGAGGTACAGGAAGGAATGCAGAGAAACACAGACACATCTGAAACGTTCCTCGGATGCCACACAGCTCAAGCCAGTCCCCAGACAAGGGGAAGAAGAACTCTCTTCCTCACCGTCTTGAATTAGGTTCGGGGGATGTGGAAGAACATTCTCCAGAAACACCTTCCTTCTCCTTCTCTTCAGATGTCACCAAGAATAACGAATCAGTCAGTATCATTCTCGAATGGCCCACACTGCATCCAATTCAAACCACTCACCTGTTTCCTGTCTGAATTTGCAAGCCCTCCGGAGATTTTTCCCCTTTTCATTTTATTTTTCTCCCTACTCTCTCTCCCCACTGAGCCAACAGGCTATCGGGGCCAATCAGAAAACCAGACCGACAACATGCTCCAGCCCCTGTGGATTTTCCAGGGGCAAAGACTTCCCAGTTCTTTCTTGTTTGCATCTGTTACGAACAAGCAGTTACTTGATAACACAGACATACATAGGCGTGCCTTTGCACACGGAAACAGGTTTTTTTTTTTTTTTCCAATTTGTGGTTTCTTTTTCCTTTTTGCAGAAAATGCAAACAAAAGAAAAACAAGGTTTTCAATTGAAGGTACATCTCTTCTTCAATATGAAGACATTAATTGAATTGGTTGGATCCCCCATGCAGTGGTCAGCAAGGTCCTTTGGCAACTGACAGACATCTGGAGTCTCAGGAGCTGGGGTTTGTTTGAAGAAACTTCCCTACACGAGTCATGAGCAAAGGGAGATGGATGTGCGGGGAGGGAGAGGGCTCATGGGGAGGAGGACGAAAGGAGAAAAGAAAAGAACGTCATTGGTGAGGAAGAAAATGGGAAATTACTTCTGTTTCTTCCCTCAACCTCCTTCCCTTTCTTCTTGTTGGTGGATGACTCCAGCCCACCCAGGGTGCGAGCTGAGTTCACTCTTGGGGTCTTTGATGCTTACTGTTTTGTCTTCACTTCCACTGAACATCACCTTTATGTATTTTTATCCTTACATATTTGGTTCCCCACGGCACCTTAAACGTGCATCAGTCACTGAGAAATGAAGGTTGCCTATTAGGAATAGGTCCAGCTTATTCTTCATTATGAGAACGCATTTCTCATGTGAGAAGCCAGTCTCTCCAGATCATTCCACAGTGGTCAACCTCTGGTTCCCCTTGAGCCTAGTCCTTTTCCTTCCTCTCCTCCCCACAGAAAACAAGAGTTGTCATGCCATTGCCGTTGGTGACTGACTCATCTGGACCCTCATAGACAGAATGCTGTTCAGGATCTTCTTCTGATGACCTGCCAAGGTGACCCCTATTCTCAGGAGGTCTCTAGGAGGGAAAAAGCCACAAAGAAGGGACATTAGTGCTTTCCACTGGTCAAAATTCATCACAGAAGGCAAGCTTCTAATAATAGTGGGGTAGGCAAGAAAATGTGTTTAGAATCCAATGTGCTTATCCGAGGCTGGCAAACATCTAACTTAATATTCCCTTTCTCAATCTCAATTTCTCCATGCAGTGGCCCCTGCTTCCAATGCCCCCTTCAGCTTAGAAGACCCTGAAAGCACTGTGCATTCTTCTTCACCTGCAGGTTCTGGAGCAGCCCTTTCATTGTGTCCATGACCCTAGACGGACTAGAACTTTTCTCTGCTATTTTCTGTTTAACACTCCAAGCACAGGCTGTATGGGGCTTCGGTTATTCTGTGAGGTTTCTGCCTAAATTAGTGATTGCCCATTGTGATTGAAAAGATGTAGGGCTTGCCTGGTTTTCTGATGTTTTCCCCTGAGTTTCCATTTTCTGCTTCTGTTAGAATTTTAATGTCATGAATTTTTAAGAAGGGTGATCTCAAAATAACTTTCAAATATCTGCCCAAGCAGGAATCCAAGGAAGATGTTTAGGATAGGGATTTGGACTGGATTCATCTTTGAGCTGTGAGTCTTAATATGAACAAGTTTGTGGCTTATATTTGACTTTGGGGAGATCATGCATCTTCCTTTAGCTAATAATATTACATTATTTGAGTGCTTCCCACGTGCCATATACTAATTCATTTATACCCATGGAAGCATTTCATAAAAACTGCCAAACCACTCAGAGTCGATGATAATAATTTACCAGCGATCATTTCTCACTTGTGTCCTGCGGGTAGACAGTAGACAAGTGCCTTATATATACTATTCCACTTACCTCTCACCACAAACCAGTGAGGTGGGTACTATTATTATTTGCACATTTATAGACAAGGCAAGCAGGGCTCAAAGAAGTTAAGTAACATGTTCAAGATCACACAGCAGGTAAGCAGTGGTGGAGCTGGGATTCAAACTCAGGATGGCCTGGCTCTCAGTTACCCTACACAGCTGTTCTCAGAATTCTTCTAGCATCCTGACTGTATTCCCTGAAGACCCCCCTGCCCCAGCAGAGCAGATGGCTCTGAACACTGTACCTGAGACTCATGAGGAGCCCCCTATACTGGCTTCCCGTCCACACCTGGGCCCTCCCAACCCCTCCTTTCAGCTGGTGGTCAGCTTCCCTTGGGTTGTAGCTGGCCTAGATTGTCAAATTGCCCATGTCTTTTCAGCAAATACTTTTGAGAGGTATGCTTGAATTCTGAATTCACAAATTGTCCTGCAATCTACTTTATTTAGTTACACATGTTCTTTTCCCGCCTTTTATCACTCAAGAAGCAAAGGAAATTGCTCCAATAGTGTGTGGACATTCTTAACTTTGAACTAAATCCTTTTATTTTCAGTTTCACTTTCCTTTTATTCTTCCCCTAGCTCTTTATCATCTCTTCCCAGACTGAAGGAATGACTCCACTTGATTCCTTAGGCTCGTGGAGGATCAGGGGATGCAGGTCCTCATACGCATCCCGTGACAGTGGGAAATCAGATGCAGTCCTGCGTTCATGGACACTCACTCCACCCCTAAACTTGGGCATCCTTTTTAGCTCTGTAAGATGGGGAAGCTGGTTTTCCACTGGAAAGGGCTTATTTTTTATTTTTGGTGTCCGATGATAATTCATGATGGTAAGGGCTTTTTAAGGCATCACCGGGAATTGAACTCAAATGTGAAAAAATGAATTCTGGTGTTTAGTGGATCCAAGGCTAGAGGGACATCCAAGCCATTTCCCAGGAGAAAGTGGAGGTTTCATCATTTCTGGAGGGAATAAACCTGAGAGACATGAAGCTGGGCTCTAGGAAAATTGATTGCAGACTAGGAGTCTGGGACAGAAGGCTGAGGGTCAATAAGCTGTCCCCCTGACACCCAACTGCTAGAGTTGGAAGACCCCCACCTCTCCCCAGGGACTCAGTAACTGGCCTGCCCCAGGATGGAATCCCAGCCCAGAGCACTGTGTCTGAAACAGCACAGGTGATCAATAAGTGTTAGTCCATTACCTGGCAGACTGACCAGGGGAAATATGTGTCACAGGACACCAACCTCAGCTGCAGTAGGGCAGCTGGTCAGGTCCCTGCTGGTGTCTGTGTGTATGCATGTGTGTTCAGAATTTGACTCTTGCCCACTGTAATTCAGATGCAGATTAGAGCCAATGCACATTAGAATTACCTTTTAACATCTGGATGCCCAGGTGTCACCATGTACCAAATCAATCAGAAGATCTGGGTGTAGGAATCAGGCATCAGTAGTTAAAAGGCTCTCAGATGACTCAGCGTAAGTGCAGCAAAGTACAGCCCCGTGTGTCCCCGGGTGGATAGGCGGGAGCATACGGAGCTGGCAGTCAGGAAAGCAGGCTTCACTTCCCTCTTTCTCACTCCTGACAGCCCAGTCTCCAGGCACTAACACCATCGTCTTTCTGAATCTCTGAATGGAAGGGGTGGAACTAGATACAGATTTCCCAAACTGTAGGGCCACAAAACCCTGCCTTCTGAAATACAGTTCCACGGTATTTAATAATTTTCCATGGGCTTCTTTATCTCAGGATTTTTCACGGCCTTTACAGTGCTAATATGTGGAGTGAATCTCCAGGAGAGTGATAAAGTACTCAGTATTTCCTAAATTTATTTGACCATGGGACCTTTTTTCCAAGGAGAACCTATTAACATTTCCCAGAACGGGTGCTGCTCAGAACATTCTTGGGGAAATGATGGACTGCATGGGTCTTTAAGATCCTTTCTGGCTCTCATTTTATTTGAATAATTTTAGTTTTTGTATTCCTTCACACTCCTGTGGGGGCTGCAGTTGGAAAATAATTTGTGGGGGCTGGAAACGTCGGCTTATTTACAAGCGCTATCTGAGGATGAAGACAGGCTCTGGGCGCATGGGCAATTGCTGGTGAATCAGTGCTCTGCCTCTTCCTGCTCTGATGTTTAAAGTGCTGGCTGGCTGTGTTCTTTCCATCTGGATGCTCTCTTTGATGGGCTGAGTTTAAAAACTTAAACGGAGGAAGGGCTCTTGGTGATTAGGCAAATGACATATGGCAGTGGCTTGGAGGAACTCTCATTTGGGACCTGGAATAAATCTCAGCCTCCCCACCTCACCCCTCCATCTTTCCCAGGCTCTTCCCTGCCAGGCCTGGTTCTATCCCGAGGTGGGGCTCTGAGGATGAGGCCAGACCCACACCACGAGGGAGAGCAGCGAGGGAGCCTTGACCGCCACCCTCAGGCAGGACAGAGGCGATGCCCACCACTTACTCTGATGTCATCTGGGTGACCAGCTGAAGGGACGTGAAGCCGGCAGTGAGGAAGCTGTCTCTGTACTGGACCATCTTGATGGCGCTGAGCCAGTCATCCACGGTGGTGAAGGCCGTGAAGTCTGGGATGGAGCGATCGAGGAGGGGCTGGGAAGGCCTGCGAGACAGAGGTGAGCAGTGACCCTACAGCTGCAGGGGGGCGTGGGCAGAGCCACACTCTGAGTGGATGGTGAACTTCATGGAGGTTCAGCGCCCCTGGTGGGATGAGGATTAGTGGAAGAGACCAGGGCTGACCCTTCCTTCTCTACACAGTTCTAAGCTGGCACAGCTCCTCAAGACCAGGTGGCCCATCCCCCTGTCCGTGGGCTCTGTCCCAGGCCAGTCAGCCCAGACTGGCAGACTGACACAGCGTGGAGTCTGAGGGGAAGAGAAGGATCACAATGCCTTTGTAAACTGAAATCTAAGAGCTTCACCAACCAAAGATATGGTTCTTTTACAAATATATGAAGTTCACTGCAACCTCCCCAATATTGGTAACATTCTTTTCTCCTGGTTCCGTCCTCCCCTGATTGAAAGAAATGGAATAGACCAGCCCACCACTGACCTTCTCTTGCATTCTCTCAGAGCAGACTCCCAGGTACCACATCCAGAAATCAGGGTGCCATGTTCACATCGCCCTCACCTTCAGCATCCATGCCCAACCTCTCACCAAGTCATAAAGATTTGACTTTCAAAACCTCTCAAACTCATTTGCTTCTTTCTACACAATTAGCCTGATTCAAGATGCTATCTCTACCATGGTTACTGCCATGTCTTCCTATCGAGTCTGTCTTCATGCTCCCCTCAACATCAAGTCCACACTAGCCTGTACTCTTTAAAAAAGGTAGATGTGATCATGACAGGAACCCCCATCCCACCCCTGATTCATGTCAAACTTGACCCACCTCAGTGGGTAATCATTGCTATAAAAACTCAGAGGCCTTAGCAGGGCCTAAAGGCTCTGAGCATCTGGCCCTTGCCTATCTTGCCAGCCTCAGTCCCCACGTCGTCTCCTCACAAACAGCACTCCCAACACACTGGCCCTGTCCTTAACATGCTTGGGCCTCTGCCCAGGCTGGAACCCTAATCCTCTACTCCCACCTCGCTTTCACTCAGTTAATGCATCCTCGCCCTTCAGCTCTCAACTGAAAAAGAGGCATCAGGGTCGCCTCCCTCATGCAAGACCAAGGTGTATGCTCTCCAAGTATCACACACTTCCCTGCCACATTGGCCAGTGAAGCGTCAACTGGAGTATCTTTGGGCAACCATCTGATTAATGTGTACTGCTCCTAAATGATTCTGAGCTTCATGGGGGCAGGTCTATCTTGTTCATTCCATACGGCCAGCAAGGTCATAGCAGTTAGCACATAAGCGCCCAATACACTGTGGTCCAAAGGATGAATTAAAAAACAAGTTAACTCTGCAAATGTAGACGAGTGATGCACAGCTGATAGTTGCTGACAGTAGCTGACAGTTCTGTGCATTTGCTCGTAACAAACCCAACTGCTCTAAATTTCTCTGTCCCATAGCCGTCAGGTTGGCCAAGGTTCCAAGTCGGCAGCTCCCCCTGCCTCATACACTGAAAGGTGTCTTCTGGAAACCGAATTGCCCAGAAGTGGGGTCTCATATCAGTCAGATAAGATAAGCCTAATTATTACAGAGCCTGTGCTCAGTCCATCTGAGGCCAGTGGATATAGAGAGCCAGACAGGTATTTGATCATCTGTTTACAGTCCATGCTGGGGACAGGGGGTATTTCAGAAAGGTAGAGGGGAAAAAGTAAGGGGAGAGTTTTGGAACTTCTTCTATCTGTGGATAAGCTCAGCCATCTCTCCTTGCTTGCAGCGGACTGAAGGCTAGCAGCCTTGCTCAGGGCTCTGCCCAACCATGAGACCCCACCCTCACCCCCACCCCCAGCCCAGGCCCCACCCTGCTCTACTGGACTCACACGGCGGTGATGGTAGCCACAGTCTTGAGACTTGCCGGGTTCCGGATCATCTTGTCCAGGGTGTTGACAATTTCTGCGAAGCGCGGCCGGCTGTTACGGTCCTTCTGCCAACAGTCCAGCATGAGCTGGTGCAGAGCAGCTGGGCAGTCCATGGGAGGCGGCAGCCGGTAGTCCTGCTCAATGGCGTTGATGACCTGCAGTGACACACGAGGACAGGTATGACTGCTGACGCGTCACTAGCCGGTCATTCAGAAATTAGCCTCTGAGGGTGGAGCCTCCTTGCCCCAGGTGTCCTCATCCTGTGCCCCTATGCCTCCCACTATAATAGATTTTATGGGCACTTGGCTTCTGCCCCTAGACTACGAGTTCCTGGAAAGCAGGGCCTGCATCTTATTGTGTCTTTGTGTCCCCAGCTACTGGGACAGGGCCTGACATATACTAGATGGCTATGAAATGTTTGCTAAAGGACGGTTGGAGATTCTCCTTTGAGAGGATACCAGGCCCAGTCTTGCCTTCCTGGCAGCTGGTGGCACCAGGACAGATGAAACAATGCATGTGGAAATGCAGTGAACCCACTATTTGCAAAGCATGGTGGGCCTCATCCTTCTAGTGCTATGGGAAGAGAGAGGGAGAGAGGGATCACAATGTGATGGAGAACCTACTTCATGCCAGGGACCCTCTAGATGCTTTCTGACATTATCTGCCTTAATCTTCATGAGGCAGCAATAGGAATTCGATAGAAGATAATTTAAACAATCTGGTTCAATACAATGACAATGATAGAAATAACAAGGGGATCAAACATGAATATCTTCAATCAGATTTTGTTAATTTTCACAGATTCCAGGGGATAATTTTGTAAAGATTTTAGGATCTGTAAGCACCCTTTACTTCTCAGTTTCCAATTCATTTAAGTTAAGTACGCCTGCTCTCTGGTTTTGGAAATAGTAAAAATAATTATAAGCGACCCAGTGCTAAACATACAAATTTATTATGGCACACTCATAGCACAATGGAAGGAACGGAATACAGTGCAGGCCTTAAGATGCTGCAAAAATGTACCTATTGAAATGGAAATATACTCCCATTATAATATTAGGCAAAAGAGCAGGCTGCCTAAGTACTTAAGATCATACCTGTGGTATGATCTCACTTTTGTAGAAAAACAAGAACCAAAACAAAACAAAGACTAATAATTACACACATACATAGAAAAGTCCTTGGAAGGATCTATACCTGGAGCTAAGGGTGGATGCCTCTGGGTGGGTAGAAATATGAATGCCCTTTGTGTTTGTCTTTTTGTTTCTTTATATGTTTATACCCTATAATAATTAAATGTTGATTTTACATGAACATAAACAGTTAAAGACCTTTAACAGCATAGGAAGTAATTTGGAGCTCAGGAATTTTCAGGTATTTTTGCTTCTACTTTAAAAAATGTCAGATTCATCTCAACTGATTATTCTTTTATTTTTTTTTACTTTATAAATTGGTCAGAAAGTGAATATTCTTAATTAGTTTATACTGTTACAAATTCTATGCATGGTATTCAGGGCATGAGGGGGAATGAGATAATATAATAACCTGAAGTCATTAGAGATAATCAAGGTGTATTATTACTTCTATTCAATGTGGCAAAAAAAACCCACAATATTTCAGAAAAACAAGCACAAAAACCATACCAATATGATCACTTTATAAAAAATCAGCAATTGTGGACATGCACTTTTGAATAATACCTTATACCACCAACAAATGTTTATCTCAGCCAGACTGTTGTCAATGAGATTACCTGTTACCTTCTCAGGAGTCCATTTTTAGCCCTATTTTCCCCATGAGGAAATGAACATGCAATCAGGGAAGTCATTTACCTGAGGGCATGCAGCTAGGGAGGGACAGGGCTGGGAACAGAGATATCTGAGTTTAAGTTCTGAACACCTTGAAGCCCACTCTTTCAGACTCCGTGGGATTGCCACAGTGATCTCAGCCTGGAGAACAGTCCTTGGAGCTGTTTGATGTCTTCATGGTAGGAAATGGGGATATGCAGCTAAACCAAGTAACCCAAGAGGGTGAGTAACAGGGCATCCTTTCTAGCTCCTTCCAGGCAGCCAGGTGGAGGGGCTCAGTCACAGAGTTCCCACTCAGCATGGGGACAAGTGGGAATACCCGCTGAATGGCTCCATAAGCTCTGGATTGCCTAATTTGCAAGCTGGTGGGGCCGGTAGGAGGAGTTTGTGTCCAGATTCAACTTCTTTGAGGGGGTTGGGCCCCCCAAAGTCTTCCAATGCAAGGCAGCTCATGTTCCCCTAAACTGCTGGCCTCGTTGCTCAAATTATCTCATGGCCAGATTCCCATACACCAATGCTCCCCCCAACAAGATTCCTCTTCTGTCTGCCCAAAGGAAGAAGGGGCACTGGGGGCAAAGTCATTCTGTGGGCATAGCTCAGAGGTGCGACCAGCTGACCTAAGCACTCCTGGCACAGCATCGAGAGATTGGCATGCTCTGACTCTTCTGTCTGGGAGCTTTAGGCCGGATGCCATGTAGCCACTTTGCCCTTGTCTCCTCTACACACCACCTCTTTAGAATCTTCGGAAGACTGTTCTGGTGTTTGATTTTGTATTTCCTCTGTTTGATGTGCTGACTTTCTTTTTAAGGGGACATCAAAGAGTCACTGATTCCTCCTCCCTGCAGGTCTGAAGCCCCACGCACGATGTTGGTAATGGTGTGGCATTGCCATTGAGCACACAGACCTTGGAGATCTGGGTTAAAATACTAACTCCATTTCTTATTAGCTCCAGAAACACAGGAGAGTCACTTGACTTCTTGAAACTGCACATATACAAAGAGGCGGTGTGCGTTGAGTGCCAAACATGAGAGTCATGGAAAGGATCCCATCATCACATGGAGGCCATCACTGTGGCCATGGCTATTACAGTGGAGGTCTTCTCTGCAGAAAGTGTTGCTGCTCTGCTACCAGCCATCTGGAGGTTTAGGAAGATGGTGTTTGGAAAGCATGTAGTGGGGACTTGTTAAATGGGGCCTCTCTTCCAGTGTCTCACCTTCTGTGATAGAGGAGAGAGGAACCCCCTCCCCTGCGTTTGCTTACAAAATTGGACTTTATTCCATCTGCTATTTCTTCTGGACAACTTTGCTCTTATTGCTCGAGTAGATACTTTGGGAGCAGTGATGCTTCTTACACATACAAAAAAATTAATAAATAAAAGCTTTACTCTCTGCTCCAAAGGAAAAATACCAAATCATTAGTTGGCATATGGGTAACATTAATCTATGATTTTCCCAGGTGGTAAAGAATCCACCTGCCAATGCAGGAGACCTGGGTTTGATTCCTGGGTCGGGAAGATCCCCTGGAGAATGAAATGGCAACTCACTCCAGTATTCTTGTCTGGGAAATCGCAATGACAGAGGAGCCTGGTGGGCTACAGTCCATGGGGTTTCAAAAGAGTCTGACATGACTGAGCTACTAAACAAAAACATTCATCTACTTATGTCCTTCATTGAAGCACTATACATTTGAAGATTTTTATTCTCTTTTTAAGGACTGGTGTTTTCTAAATTATCTGAGTACATATAAGTTATATTCAAATTAAAACATCATTATTTCAAAAAAGTACTTGTGGTCCTCTAATGGGGCTTTGGGATCACTCCTTGTCACACCTCCCTCACTGGCAGCTGTGGAGAAAGCCGAGGAGGCAGGAGAATTGGGACTTATAGTCCCAACACCAGTGACTGCATCTGACTGCATCTGACTTGTGAACAAAGATGTGACCCAAACCTGGGGTCAGAGGGCATCCTGCTGAGCAGACTTGAAAATCAGAGTAAGTCCTGGGCCCCATGGGCTTCCCTGATGGTTCAGACTGTTAAAAATCCACCTGCAATGTGGGAGACCTGAGTTCTATCCTTGCGTTGGGAGGATCCCCTGGAGAAGGGGACAGCTACCCACTCCCATATTCTTGCCTGGAGAATTCCATGGATAGAGGAGCCTGGCAGGCTATAGTCCTTGGCATTGCAAAGAGTCAAACAGGACTGAGTGACTTTCACTTCACTTCTGCCTGGGCCCCTCTCCTTGATCCATGACAGGATGAGATAAATGGATGTTGAAAGACTGGCGATTGAAATGAGATCAGATGGTATTTCCAGAGAGAAGCTGATGGTGAGTGCGGCAGTGAGAACATCTCGGGAGCTGTCATGGAGCAGGCCTGACTCACTTTGAATGGCCTACAGCAACAGGTGCGGTGGGCTGCCTTTGCTCACCTGTACCCTGGGATGGCAGGTGTGGGGCTGGGTGGGGATGAGGGGCAGGTAGTCTGGACCAGGGGCCCAGGGCTGGTGCTCCTCTGTGAAAGGAGCAGGACCCCTCCCCTTGCCCTCGTGTCCCCAGCGGGGCTCCCAACTGCCCCCAGACACGCACTTTTCATTAGTGAGTTGGGCGGTGGGCGGGCTTCCTCGACCTTCCATGTGGAGAGTGAAGTGGAGGAGCTCAGAGCAGTGGAGGATCCAGGGCAGAGGGGGTTAAGTTGAGCTCTGATGTTTCAATAAAACCGCAGCTCCTCTCCACAGACACTGCCACTCTCATTATCTCTGTCAATCAGATCCAAGCAGTAGAACTTCCAAGTTCTCTCTCTGGCTGACAAACTCTCTGTACATGTTCAAAGAACTTCCTGGGCTCTGGAAGCCCAATTACCAGCACTCCGACTTGCCTCTGCAATTCTCTTTCTTAAAGCCTTTCAATTGTCATCTGTAAAACCCTTTACTGCCACCACCTCAGTGGTTTCTGATGAGTCGGGCTGCAGCTGGGAGCCCTCCTGGTCTCTCCCAGGCCGGGTCAGGAGATGCCTTCTGAATGGGCAAAAGTCACTCTCTGCCTTCCACAGAGAGTAGACTGGTACTTGGGACAATGGTGAAAGGCTTTATTTTAGGGGAAAAAAACAAAAAATGAAAGGAGAATAAAACTGCTTCTTTGCAGATGTTCCAATTCCCTTTGAGGCCCAGCTCAAGCATTAAATATCTGGAAACCTTCTTTACCTATCCCCAAATGTTCCCATAGCCCTATGTATATGGTACTGGGCTGTAACCCCCCAAAGAATAGAGCCAGTGAGCACAATGCTTAGTCACAGTTAGCAAACTCTGAGTGTCTGTTGAGTGAATGATTTGGGATTTCTGAAAGTCTAATATCAGAAACTCCATTTGTTTTCAGCAGAGGTGGATACATTTGCTGAGAACATCCTGAATGTCAAATCTTGCCTGTCAGAGTTTCCTAATCCATTCCACATGTGCTGAATTGTTCTTAATCGGATTACAGTCTCTGGGAAGGGCAAAATGGGTCTGCTTTTTCAGGCTAACATTTATTACTCATCTAGCTGACAGTGTGGACGGAACCAGGGTGCAGCTGATTTCATGAAAGCAGCCTTGGCATCAACTCCGACATTTACTGATTCGACACGCTACAGGAGCAGAGGCAAAGCATGGAGAATCAGAGATAATAGAGGATCTAGACACCACCCATGGTCGGCAGTAGAACCTGGCTGAGGAGACAGCTATTTTGCCTGCTCTGGGCTGAAGCCACTCCACCCTCCGGAGCAGGGGGCATTACCACTAAGCACCCAGATCCTCTTCTGTCTCATTAGAAAGTGTTTTCTGGGTGCCCAGGTCACCACCTTTCTCAAGCTTCTGAGCAACAGCCATGGCTGGAAACCTCTGACTGGACAGAGGACTGGTTGGGGGCCAACTTCTCCAGTTTACCAGTGCCTCGGGAGCCCATACCCATGATGGAAGTGCTTCTGGGATGGTTGTTTTCCCCATCTGGACTGGGCCAGCCCTGTCTCTTTTTCCTTGGAAGTTGGGGAAGATAATAACTGCTCCCCAGTGATGGGAAGAGCAAGTGAGAACAGAGGTAGTACAGATATTGCAGACTGCGATCCCCTTAGCCCCAAAGGAACTGTATATATTTAGAACACAAGAAGGAGCAGTCCCAGGGATGGGGTGGGGGGAATCAAGGTAGGATTTTGATTGTGACCTTATTGAAGCAAATCATCCACAAAAGGTTATCCACTTTTTGGTAATTATGGAGCAAAGGGTCCCATCTGGGACACCCCTAAAATGCCTCTGCTAAAAGTATCTCAGATGATGCTTCTCTTTCCTGTCTCCCTATCCCTTGCAGGTCAGGGAGGGGTGTTGCTCACCACTCAGCTTGGTCCCCTCCCAAGACCCGTCTGGAGCTGACCAGCTCTGGGACTCTTGCTCAGCACCTCCTTCACCGACAGGTGCCAAGGATTCAGAAGAGCAGATTCTCAGGAAAGAAGGGCCTTTACAACGAACTCCTCCATTTAGAGCTGAGACACAGAAGTCACAGACAAAAGCTGCTGCTGGCTCAACACAGCACATCCGTCAGAGCAGAGCAGCTGGAAGCCAGGTCCTTCCAGGCAACCAGCACTGCTTCCTCTCCATCACACATGGTGACAGAGGGCACGCAGGCAAGTGCTTGGCAGCAGGGTACAATTCCGTGGTCAACTTTGGACCTGATCTATTCATGACTCAGGCCATTCAGAACCAGCCCATCATCTCTCGGATTGGTCAGGGCACATTTACAGGCTTTGGGGTCATAGGAACCATCACATCTCTGTGCTGGGTTCTTGATTAGTTCAAACATTGGTGCAAAGGAGGTCCCTGCATCCCCTGCACCAGACACTTCACATTCAGGACCCGAGGCCCAGTGAGAAACCAGGTGGGCCTGGCATGCCAGAGCCCTGGGACCCCTGGCGTGAGGGTGGTAGCAGCAGGAGCAGCTGACACTTACATCTTGGTTGGACATGTCCCAGTAGGGTCTCTCTCCAAATGACATGACTTCCCACATGACAATCCCGTAGCTCCAGACATCACTGGCAGATGTGAACTTGCGGTAGGCGATGGCCTCTGGAGCTGTCCATCTCACGGGGATCTTGCCTCCCTGGGGGGAAGGAGAAGCCTGGTCAGTCCAACCACTGAGTTCCCAGCTGAAAGTCAGTAAGAATAAACTGGGCACACACGTCCATCCTTCCACCCCTACCCCGATGTCTTGCGAACTAGGACAGCGGGGTCCCCAGGCAGAGGAATCTGCAGGGCTGGTCTCTCTCATACCACGGGTGGGCACGCCTCATTGCTCCACACCAGAGGTGGTGACTGGGCCTGCGGTTGCATTCACCCCTCCGTTCCCTATGTCCTGATTCTACCGTCACCGTGGGTGAGAGGAACAGTGAAACTCATATAGAGGCACTACCATAGCACACTGCGTGAGATCAGCTACGTGAGCCGTGACAGGCAGGTGCGGCTCTGCTGACCCACAGTACTGTACGCACGAGTCACAACACTTGGGTCAGAAGGGAGCTAAGCAAGCAAAACAGGAAGACAGTGAAGGTAATACCTCCGAACACCCCCGACCACAAGATCACCCTCTGGCCCCCGCACCCTGTGCTCCAGCCTCGGGGGACAGGCTGTCCTCACTCTGCAGTCCACAGGCGGCCCCGGCTGCCCCTGGTTTACCCCGCCCGGCATTGAAAGATGCTGGCTCTCCTCCCTGCCGTTCTGTGAGGCTGACACCCAGAGGTGCAGACACTTTCCTAACCGGCCACTTTTAGGTTTGCTTCCCCGTCTTACCCTCCAGCTTCCCCCCTCCCCCCGGAAGTTTCCAGCTTGGCTCTCGGCTTAGTCCTCAGGTTGTCTGCCAGATCTCAGCCTATTTTGCCAGTGTGCATGCTCAGCCATAAAGTCATGTCCTCGCGACCCCATGGACTGTAGCCCTCCAGGCTCTTCTGTCCATTAGATTTCCCAGGCAAGAATATTGGAGTGGTTGCTATTTCCTCCTGGAGGGACTCTTCCTGACCCAGGGATTGAGTCTGCATCTCCTCCATTGGAAGGCAAGTTTCTCACCACTGAGCCACCTGAGAAGCAAGGGATTGCTATCTATCCATTTGTACATGTGCCCTGTCAACAGATAGGCAGTGGGCACTGTTGTGCCAGGCCCTTCCTGAGGAGCTGGTGTCCCAGAGCTGAGCCAGCTAGGGGCTCTGCCCTCAGGCTGCAGGGGGCATGGGAAGGCAGACAAGAAACAGAAACTTCATACGTACTGTTAACAAGATGGAAAGTGATGAGGGGGAGGCCGAGGCGGGTACAGGGTGTGTGAGAACTGGAGGAGACTCCCTAACACAGGAAGGGGTCAGGGAAGGTAGCCAGGAACAGTCAGAGGGGCAGTTCTCTGGAGCCTTTGGCCAGATGTGGATACCAGTACTGTTCCTTTCTACCTGTGTGACTTAGGGAAAGTTACCTAACCTCTCTGTGCCTCTGTTTCTTGTTGCCACAATGGAGGTAATGACCACACTTACATAGTCAGGTTGTCATGAGGAAAACAGGGTTACTATCCATCCAGTGCTGGGGCAGGGCCAGGCATAGAGGGTCCATGCTATCCACTTGGTAACTAGTTAATCAGGCAGAGCATGTGGAGGAAGGAAGTCCAGGCAGAGAGGAGCATAGGCGGATGTTGGGGGTACCAGGTAGCAGAGAGGAAGGTAACTGCCAGCAATGTAGGGTGGTTAGAGCGTGGAATTCTGAAGGGGGATATATAGAGAAGGCAGCTCTCTCGGGCACTGATGCCACTCACAGGGGCAGAGTTCATCATCCTCTAGGGAAAAAAACGATCCTCATTTTTAAGTCTTCATGCCAAACACTGGACTTCACTGCCCTGGCCCCGTTGAGATGCCTGGGCTCTGCCTCCATAATACATGAGGCCTACAGCTCCCTCCAACCCCTTCTCATCTGCCCCCTGCCTTGACTGAAGGAGGCTATTTTTATACTGACCACTCTCATGATCTGTTCAAATCACCAGAGAGACACATTGGACTTCAGCAAAAAAATACCTTAAAAATGTATAAGTGGTTAATCTGAGCACTAGTGAGAGAAAAAGGAGCAAACTGCAAAGTGTATTTTTTATCTGGCTTCCTAGCCGGGGTCTGGGAGGAACGAAGGCATTCTGGCCCCAACCTCCCCAGGCACACATCCAGCTTTCCGCAAAGAAGACAGCCCTGATTTCCCCCAGGACTGTGGCAGACTTTTGTGGTGGGAGAGTCCTCAACTCAAATGCCAGCAATGTGACAAATGCCCGGAGGGCAGGCTCAGGCTGCGGAGGCAACAGGATGCTCTGTTTTCACCATCCCCCCAAACATGAATGAATTTATTGGTTTATCTCCTCGGTACCATGGTTGGGAAGAGAGGTGGAAAATCCAGCCAGTGAACCAGGAGTTGTCAAACACAGTGTCCGACAGCTCAGAGATCCCATGCTGTGTGCCCCCTTTGGGTGGGGGATGTTGCCACACCCAGAGAGGACCTGGGACTCTCCTGGAGCAGAGGGGTCTCTCAATACAATACACCTGGGTTACTTAATGTAGGAGAGAGCAGGATTTAATTAGTGTCAGTCTGTGTGTGAGGGAGAGAGAGAGGCAATGAGACTCTGAGTGAAAACTTGCCAGTGTGTGTGAGAGACAGTGAGAAGCAGAGAAAATCTGGTCATGTGGGTCTGTGGATAAGAGTCAGGGCTTATCTTTTGTGCCTGTTTGTGTCAGGAAACGGGGAAGGGAGACGAAAGCATGCTTCTCCTGAATTTCAAAGAGGCGATTTGGGAGTCTGAAGGTGTCCTCTCTGCCAAATCTGGGGCAGACCCCAGGGCCCGCTGTGACAGCTGTTGCACCTCCCTCCTGCATGTGAGTTGGCAGTACCAGGCCCGCTAGCGAGGTGCCTCAGCCCTCCTGCCACCTTGCACTGTTGGGCCTCACTGAACACAGAGTTCGGCCTGTCACCACCCTGCCTCCATCCCAGAAGGTGGCAGAGCCTTTGAGAAGAGTGACCCTGGACAGGCAGGTGACAGTTGTATCACGAAGGCCCCCCACCAAGAGCAGGGGCCGCTGACCTCCAGGCAGGCAGGTGGTAGGGAAGGGGCTGGGTGGTTTCCTTCCCGGGGGTTTTAGAGTTCCCTCTCAGCTTTGCAAACATCACATCATCAGCATTGCCTTCAGATGCTCAGAGGTAATTATGATGGATTATTTAACTCATCTTCAATTACATAAAAGAAAATCTATTAATGTAGAGGATGGTGACCAGCCCCACGCAGGGGATTAGGTGAAAAGGAAGTAGAATGTCACTGCAGCTGTCGGGGCTTCTTCACATGAGGAAGGTCCTTCTTCCAGAAGAGAAGTCTGGACCAGAAAGACCAAGGGCAAGGTGCCCCTGTGATGGCGAAGTGCTCTGAAGGTCCTGGTTCTTGCCAGTGGAGGCATGAGGAAGAGGCATAAGGAAGGAGTGATCGGCTCTGCTGGATTGGAGGAAGCACAAGGGATGAATTCTCAGGGGGCAGGCAACAGCTGAGGCCCACTGGAGGGACTCTGCACCCTTGTGGGCCAGAGGGGCTGACACTGGGCTTGAAGAGAGCATTGTCCCCTGCATGGGTTCCTCCAAGCACCAGATGCCTCGATGCACCCCAGGGATGCTGAAGGCACAGGTGTGCATTCTGCAGGGACCAGGGACTAGGTTCCCTAGAGCTGCTAAAGGAGTCACTGTTGGGACATGGGAGAGAGAGAAGAGAAGAGGGTAGGAAGGCAGCTCACCATCATCGGTGTACTTCATACACTGACCTTCCAGGTAAAGCTCGGCATTCTTCACAAGTATGACACTTCCAGAAGTTTGTTTCAGAATAATCATGCCTTAAGTCAGGTATGAGATCAACTGCAAAGACTGTGTGTGTGTGATTTGATAAACTAGGAAGTGATGTCTGGCAGCAGATTAATTTTAACCCAGCCATTCAGGGGAACCTGCTAAAAACGCACAGCCGCACCTACCACTAAGAGTTATGCCAGCAGGTAGAAGGTTTCAGCCTAGAGGTGCTGTAGTCCCTCGGGCTCAGCCAGCCTGCAAGAACCATCTATGCAGCAACCACTCGCCAAGCACCCTGCCGGGAACCTGCCAGGAATGACACTCAGCCCCACTCTCGGGTGATGGAGAGCCCCAAGGCCACCCATCGCTGCCTTGCTGCAGAGACATTAGAGAGGTATAGCTCATATCTCGGGTTCTAGGACCCACCTGACTGTGGAGTTTTTCAGGCTACGGTCTGAAAACTATAGGTTTCTCTTCCTAGCTATTCAGTGTAGAGATGCCCAGAAGGGTAATGTTTCTAGCTATCTGGGCACTGCTACAGTACTTTTCTCCACCATCAGGTGTGAGACAAAGTCTCAGTGGAGATATTACAGGAATCCAGACACTGATGAATATTGAGTATTGTCAGTCATAGAATCATTGGAATCATGTTGCAGGAGGAATCCCCTTGAAGTGATAGGTTTATGACTGAGACGTCATGTAGTGGCTCTGAATTTCATAATGCCCACTCTCAAATAGGTTTATAACATATAAAACATATTGGGGTTGTTTTGAAGATCCAACATGATACATATATATATATATATGTAAACCACTAAGAATATTATTGTTACCATTAAACAAGAATTTATGGAGTGTTGTGAGTTGAGTTTGCCTCCCCACCAACCCCAAAAATGATACATTCAACTTCTAAATTCTTGTACCAGTACACGTGACCTTATTTGGAAATCTGGTCTTTGGGGATGGAACTGTAACCACAGAACCAGCTCCAATCTGGCCCTATTCTGTTTCTAACAAGATACTGAGTCATTTTTCAGAGGCAATAGGAACAAAACTGCAAGTCATACAGCTGAATTGTATGCAGAGAATTTATTGATCTCAAATAACACCCGGAACCAAAATTTCTCCACCCCACAGAACCAAAGGACCAGGACATGATGGAACCTGAATGCTGAAACCCTTTCAGAAGCTAAGGGTTCACTGTTCATGAAGACCAGTTCTGCAGCTCCTTTACCATACCATAAACGGCCATGTTCCAAAACCCTCTAATCA